GGCGAGTTGCCTTATATCATAAAATCTTATATTTTCGTGTAAACATTAATAAAAGGATACAATTCACCCCGTAACAATAGTGATCTGCATCAAAAACGTAACCACTTTCGCGGGTTTCACCCTGTCGTATTATAACTCCTTCCGTACCGTTATCATTAAATCCGAATCCTTTATAAGAATGCATCCCCGCATAACCTATGCTTGTAACCTGAATTAATTTGACTCTCGTGTTCAAGTTTCTCCCCTGGTTACAACGACACACGTTTGCAATGAGCATTTAAAACTCATGAGTAACTGACGTGTCATAACATCTCACATTTCACTTTATTTATTTATAATTTCATATATTCCATTTTTCAGAGGATACAGCTCGAAAGATGAGTTACATTCACTTAAGAACTATTCGAGATAATAAGCTTAGCTATTATCATTACACATAGGTTAAAATTTTTAATAAAATGAATTCATTTTATCATAATGCAGGCAATATGATTTTTATATGAAGAATCGATTATATTGAAAATTATATAATATAAAATTCTGGATTTTTTATTAATTGAAAATAATTTAAAAACTGAGTAAATCTATTTAACATATAAATTGTAAACTTGCTACAAGTTTTATTTAAAAATATATAAATACTATATAAACCTATGTTAAATATATACATACATACACAATAAGTTTGATAAAGTCAAATACAAAAAATGCAAATAAGATTCTATGGTCACTCACTGTTTATCGAGCATTAAAATCTTATAAGAGAAGTTCAACTTCTTCCAAAGCTATACGATCAGGAGGATTATAGCTGCAGCATTTTTCTACAACTTTTCTTAATCCACCCGGTGTATCTTTTTCTTTAAGTTCATCAATCAATCCATCAATTTTTTTGGAAAGCTTAGCTTCTTTAATTTCATCATTATCCATACCATCATACGGTCTATATAGAATGAAGCATTTAATATTATACATAATTGTTGAATCATAAAATGTTCAAAATTAGTAGAACTTAACATACTCTATTCCATTCATCAAAATTTCCCACGCAACTAATCCGTAACTATAAATGTCTGCAAAAAGAATTAGTTTATTGACAAATAAAATATATTTAACCATCAAAATTTAAACATACCCGAGAG